GGGAAATTGCAGTGCAACAGCAGCTTAACACAGACAACACAGCCACAGTGTAACGAATGATACAATAATAATAATATTGACTTCAAAATGTTTTTGAAATAAAGCAACATACTTAAAAAAAATATTTAACAGTTGCTTAACTAATTATCCCACACAAACTTAAAAGTAACCAAAAATGTTAATGAAGTGAACAGCTTTATTGCTATTGTTAGTTTCATTATTGCGTTGCTGTGATTTTTCCAGTTGCAAATATAGAAAAGTTTCTAGTTTAATCATTTGTAAAATCTAATTTACTAGTTCTCCATGTTTGAACCTATAGCGGGAGTAATGCACACCAATCTTATAAGATAACCTTGAGCAGTCTTAGTACCACTGTCTCCACAGCAATGGTATAATGCTCAATTTATACAATTTATTAAAGGATTATTTGAAAATCATGTCTCTATTCAAAATATCCTAGTGAACATGGGCTCATAGGCACCAAAATACTGTTGGTTAGCACTAGATAATATTTTATTACCCCAGTACATAATTACAGCAATATCAACAGTGGCAGAGAAAGGTTACAATGAAATTACATAAAGCACTACAAAGCACATAGAAAATTGAGTAAATTTAAATTGTACACATATCCAGATCAGAAATGATACCCTGATCATGTTATGTGGGTGTTTCATGTCAAATTTAAAATGAACACATCCCTTGTAACAATAATGAGAGAAGGTTACAAAATGTTTGTAAAACCTAATACATGATAATTTTATTTTTTATTGTGTGAAAATCAGATTCCCTGCAGATAAATGTGGTTCCTGCCATCATTGTTTCAACAATGTTACTGTATTCAACAGTGTTAATATGTTTAAAAATGTAACCAGTTTGTCAGATCTGATATATTTACCCTTTAAAACTCCACACTGTTATCACATTGGTATTTATTTTTTCTCTTAGTTTATTATATGAAAATAAACTGAGAATTTTAAACTTATAAATTTAATATTCACAACTGTTCCAAGCAGGAGCTACAGCAAGAGAGGGGCAACCATGAGCACAACACATCTGAGTGAATGGCAGAAGAGGTCCTTTGACATTTCCTCTGGCACCTGCACACCTGAACAGAAGGCGGATGCCTACCGTGCGCATATTCTAGACATTCAGTATGCATGGGCAAACGCGGACATCTCTGAGGCCTGTGCTGGGAGCTTATTCAGGAAGTACACAGAGCAGTATTCTGCAGTTGTCGATTCTGACAGTCCACAGACAGGACTGAACAACTATGCTGACAGCGTCTTGCATCTGGCCAGATGTCAGAGGAATGACAGTGACAAGTGGGAGTCATCCTTTACAGCGGAGAGCGTGTTAAAGCTAAAATGTGTGCAAAGCATGATTCAAGCTGGAACTGAAAGGAGGAAATCTCTGGTGGCACCTGCTAATGCGAACATGATGGTTGGGGATGGGGTTGCTGATGAGGTGAACAAAGGTTACCCTAAATGTGCTCTTCTTGCTATTAGTAGTACTGGAGGCCTGGTTTTAAGACCCAAAGATGTTCCTTTAGCCTGCAATACTCAAATAAACAGCTCTGAGATGGCTCCCAAGCCATATGCTACAGCACCAAGTAACATAAATCCTGGTTCCTCCTGTGCTTCTTCCTCATTTAATAACCAGGCTCCTTTTGCTCCTCTTTTTGGTTACTCGGAAAAGCTTGGTGCCAATCCAGCAGCAAGTTTGGGGCCCCTTCCACCAGCAAAACATTTTTCAGCAGGTGGGAGTCATTCTTACAATACCCAGTCAGCCTTCTTGTCTTCAAATTCTGCAAAAAGGAAGATGTACAGCACGAGCAATGAAAACAGTTGGGGATTATTCCCTGGATATGGACAACATCAGCAAAGAGAACAAGATACTCAAAGCAGTTCTGGCAAGGGAGAGTGTACAGAAGAAAGCCGTGCGACCAGCTTCAAAACAGCTAAGGAGCAAATGTTTGTGAACCAGCAAAAAAAATACAACAACCAGCCCCAGCGAGCACATCCTGTGTCCCACCCAACTGGGGTCAAAAAGTCCCTGGGTGCCAACAGATCTCGTGGTGCTTTTGGAAAGTTTGTGTCACCTATGCCAAGGCAGGAGGAGGACAGCCATGCAGGGGTGATGTCTAGCAGAGTGTCTGACTCTGAAAATGCACATCCTGTGGATGAGCGACTCAAGAACTTCGAACCAAAAATTATTGAACTTATCATGAGTGAGATCATGGACCATGGACCCCCTATCAGCTGGGATGACATTGCTGGACTGGACTTTGCCAAAACCACAATCAAGGAGATTGTGGTGTGGCCCATGCTGCGGCCAGACATCTTCACAGGGCTCAGAGGGCCTCCGAAGGGGATACTCCTCTTCGGACCTCCTGGGACAGGCAAAACACTGATTGGCAAATGCATTGCGTGCCAGTCTGGAGCCACCTTCTTCAGTATCAGCGCTTCCTCTCTAACATCAAAATGGGTGGGTGAAGGAGAGAAGATGGTACGGGCACTGTTTGCCATTGCCCGCTGCCACCAGCCTGCTGTCATTTTCATTGATGAGATTGACTCTTTGCTGTCCCAGAGAGTGGATGGTGAGCATGACTCCTCCCGTAGAATTAAGACTGAGTTCCTGGTGCAGCTCGACGGGGCCAGTACCTCTGCTGACGAACGTATCCTAGTGGTGGGGGCCACCAATCGTCCCCAGGAGATTGATGAGGCTGCTCGAAGGAGACTTGCCAAGAGGCTTTACATCCCTCTGCCTGTTGCCTTGGCCAGAAAGCAGATAGTTGTAAACCTGATGTCACGGGAGAATTGTGAACTCACTGAGGAGGAGCTAGAGCTAGTCATCCAAAGCTCTGAAGGCTTCTCTGGGGCAGACATGACCCAGTTGTGTCGGGAGGCTGCTCTTGGTCCTATCCGCAGCATTCAGATTACAGACATTGCCACAATTACACCAGACCAGGTTCGCCCCATCCTCTACTCAGACTTCCAGGAGGCTCTCAAAACTGTGCGCCCCAGTGTCTCTTCCAAAGACTTAGAGCTGTATGAGGAATGGAATAAAACATTTGGCTGTGGCCGCTGATCCAACAGCATGTAGCCTTCTTCTTTGTGGTTGTGTTCCACAAACTTCTAATGATTATTGTATAATGATAATAAAATAAATAATAATAGCCTTATGGTATAGCAGTGTTTTAGTTTGGGAATTTTTAAATGGGTATGTCTTGTGTGCTATTTGCACTTTAATAATTTTCAATGTGTTTTTTTTTTTACAAAAAGTTATGTATAAAACATTTTCACAATACTGAGTTGTTCTCGGGTAGTTGCTGATATACACCTCAGACTAAAACAAAGGTACCTTATTTAATATGAATTCTACAGATTAAATGCAATCACTTTTTTTCAGTAAATGAAAAGTGAAAGTTTTTAATTGCCTCCAAGATGCTCCACTTTATTCTCTGAAAAACTGTTTTAATATCGTGCCAAATTAACAAGATATTTCTTTGTATTAATGAAAATAACTCAATGTCAATCTTGTAGAATACTGCATTACAAATTTTACCACTTCAGACCTGTAATAAAGTTTTTGATTAAAAGCAAGATTGGATTAATATTTATAGTATTTTTTACTCACTGTATCAAATGTAGAACATAAGAACACGTTGCTATGTGATTGAAAGTGTAATGCCTGTGTGACTTATGCCTGAGCACAATACCTCTGCAGTTCACATTTCTTGACACGTATATGGACAGACATGTTGTCATTTCTTACTCGGGAAGTAACAAGGACCATAAAAACATGAGCTCTAACCTTTTTTACAGACAGCAAACTGCCTCTCATTTCTTAATTGCTTAACTTTGTATGATTAAAGTTTAGGGGAAGAAATGCATGTTGCATTTTTAAAATACTGCAATTTAACTTCATGTTCCAGATCTAGAAACTCGTGTTCACCAGTTTTAATATTTGTTGTTTAATTTTTAATTGTCTTGTTAACTATTCTAGCAAAAACAGCCTGGAAAATCTTGCCAGAGCTGTTTGAGAGGAAGGAAGGTAGTGAAACTGCACAAGATGTAACTGATAAATACAGTAAAAAAAAAAATCAATATTTTACTATTTCAGTGTTCGGTTGTGTTGTACAGACAGTACAGTATAGCTTCTCCTTCCCAATTTCAGAAGGCATTTCTTAGGGCTTCTTTGTAAAGCTACTTTGTGCTGCAATGTTTACTTGCTGTAGCACATTACAGTTGATGCAGAAGTGAAACATTTTTTTCAGAACACTTAAGAGTTTGCATTACAGTAACAAAATAATATGAGTGAAAGTTGTTTAACTCTAAAATAAATATGTGACTGCACAACTGGCACTGCATACCTGAGTCAGTATTTTCAACCAGTAGGACTATAAAATGTTGCAGCATTCTTTAGCTCAGATACTTTTAGGTTTTGGGTGGATTGGGTCTGGTTGTTGGGAGGGTGGGACTGTAGAAAACAGGAGGTATAGAATGTGCACAGTAGGAACCACAGTAACAGGCAAGTCTGCCCTGGTAAGTAAAAGGCCTCAAAGTAGGAACAACTGATGTTCCGTAACCTTTAGAGAGAAATTCCATCAGATGGCATACCCATCCCTTTTGTAATGTCCTGTGGTTCTGCTAGAGGCAGCTGGCAGAACAAAGTATACATTCAAATTACATTTAATGTATGTCTCTTTCTCCAAACAATGAGTTTTCTTCATATTGTTTCTGGCAGGTCTCAGGTAAAATTACTGAACAGTGTATAAAGGGTTAACTTTATGTGCAGTTTCTCATTTTCACGTAAAAGTATAGGTTAATAGTAACGTTTCTTAATTATATGAAGTGTTGAAGTGAAAAGTCTCATAATCTGTACTTCAGCTCCTTTAGTATTGTAATTTATTCATAAAAGCAGAATCATGAATGTCTGGATAAATGTAAGCATTTTGTTAATTGTGAGAAACTCAGTCGTGAGAAACTTTAACTTGTTTTTCCTTTTTGTGGTCAACTACTGTTTTTTTCTCCTGTTTACTGTATTTTGCAAACTTCACATCAGTACTGAAACTCACACCTGAACAAGTATTACTGTTTTTAAGGATTTCAAATACATTTGTCTTGACCTAACTCAGATGGAGATTGGTGCACAGTTCTTTTTCTTTTCTTGTTGGGTGTGCAGCTACAGAATTGCCAGAGGGATCTGTGTATGGATTCTCCAGATAGTATATCCTTTATTTTTTGCTTATTAATTTACAATTTACATTGTAAAGAGTATAACATAAGCATGTTTCTGTTCAAATAAGTCATCAGTATGTTAGCAGGATGTGCAGGAATCCAAAATAGGTCAGAAGGAGTCCAGAAACAGGCAAGTGTTCAGAAAAAATTGAGAATGCAGTAATTATTGATTCTCTTGCTTTGAACTGGATTTGTAATGTAATTTTAGGAAAGCAACCCGTAATATTGATATAATGAGGAAAAAAATATTTAAATATATGAAAGAAAATAATGATTCAAAACAGCATATCACATTATCTGATCTCTCACAAGGTTCTTTGGGATAAGATCTCTGTTTCAGCCCAGGTCAAAGAAACAGAATCTCCACTCAAATGTAGCTCTCTTTAGATTCAATTCAATACTACTGAACTGATACGCTTTTGCTCCTCAGAAAGACGAGGGCAAATCTTCTCTAGGGTCAACTAAGGTGACTAACAACCACCTCAACCTTTGTTCTCATGCAAACATTTATACAGTACGAGCAGTACTATCAGATGTTTTTTTTCATGCTTGAAATGAATTTTCATCTTTCAATAATAAAAAAGTGTATGTAAAAGAAAAATGAAAAAATAGTCTCTTTATTCTATACTATAGAATATATTCACAGTAGATTATTGAATGCAAATAATAATACTGAAGCATAAGTCTTGACTTGGTTCCTTTTTGTGGGCCATTCTGAGTCCTAGACAGAATGGGGAGCCACCTTTACATTTAGTGTTATTAACCACAAGGTGGAGTAATTGCTTAATGGTCCTTATCTTTATTCCTATTTTCAATGTTTTGAGATGGGCTTAATCATTGGGTTTAAATTAGTTGGTTTATTACAATTAGTATGAACCTGATATTTTTCAGAAACCAAATACCACATTTGTGTGCTTAAATGAAGCACTTATTTTCATATGCACTTGTATTAATGCCTATGTTATTCCAGTTATTCATATTCTTGGAATTACAGTATGTATCTGCAATAGTCTAAATACATGCACTTATTAGTGCAAATGAAACACTACTTACAAAGGTTACTGGTACATACAGTACATGTAACCCTGCAATGCTAAATGCTTACCTAAAGTTGTTCATCCATTTTTAGTAACCACTTTTTCATTAGTTACAGTAAACTGGAGTCATGTAAAGGGATTGAGGCAGGGCTACACCCTAGATAGAATGTCGGTTGAAGGGCACCCACACACATACAGGGGGCAAATATCGCAAACAATACTTCTTTAGACCGTGGGAAGAAACAGTTGCACCTAGAGAAAATCCAAAACCCATGCAGCAACAACATGTCAATTCACATACACAGTGCCCCAGGCTGGAATTAAACCCAGGTCCAAACATCTACGAAAGGGTAGTGCTGATCACCATGACACTTTCTCACAAAGCAGTGATCATGAATGCTGTGTATTACAGTATGTAAATAGTTATGATAAAACAATAAAATGAAGTATCTGTTGAGAATGCTTAATACCTTTGAAAGGATTAAAAATGTAAACTTTGTAGTGATAAGAATAAGTGAACTACAGTATGTAGAAACAAGGGGTAGCCTAGCGGAAAATCATTGCTGCCTTGCAGCATGGGGACACTGAGTTCAGTTCCTGGGTTACTATTTGCCTACGTTTTGCATCCTCTCCATGTGTTTGCATGGGTTCCCTGCAGGTGCTCTGATTTCCTCTAACAGTCCAAAGACATGCTGGTAGGTTAATTGGTCTCTGTAAACTTGTCCCTGGTGTGAGTGTGTGTTTGTGTCTAATGTGTGCCCTGCAAAGGGCTTGTATCCTGTTTAGCATAAAATAGAATAACAGAGGAGCTATCTGTTGCAATTGTACTACATCTTTGAAACAAAAGTATTAGAATGTTAACTTTGTACTGATAAGAATTAAGTGAAATACTTAGAAACTAGGGGTGCAGGGTGTAATGCTCTTTGTACCCAACGCTTCCCCTGATAAACTTCTGGGCCACCATGACCATAAATAGAAGTGGTTATTGAAAGTGATGTAGAAACTCATAACAGACTAAGACTGTGATTTTTAAAACAAAGTATTACATCTCTGAGATGTATGGATCTTACATCATTGTCCTCAATAAGCACCTTCCAGTGGTTCTTGTCATGTCTGCCAAGGATTGATTTCAGGAGAGAGGTGGCAGCAGTTGTTTTTCCTGTCCACTCACAGATTTTTCCCAGTTTTTAATACCTTTGTCTCCTCTCTGCACCTCTGCTATCCTACTGATTGAAGTAAGGTGAAGGCTCATCCCTGGAATTACTGCAGCTCTCTTTGCTCCGCTTTCTCTCGTTCAGCAAGCTTGATCTGCGGTAATGCCTGAATAGGTGCCTGCTTGGCAGGCCTGTTGCTATTACTGGTTTGCATAAGATTCTGCAAGTATTGTTTTCATTGCAAAATTGATTTCATTTTTATTGGGTAAAATATGTAATGAAAAGAAAATCTATATAGTACCAGTGTGGCTAGCTCTTGTCATGGAGAGCGACAAACTAGTAAGTTTCATTGGTCACCCTAAAATCATCAAGGCCAGATTTTGTTCAGTTAAGGTGTTTAGAGATCATTTGAAATGAAAATTCATTTTCACAAACTTGTAGCACTTACTGTAAGGACCATTTCTGACTTAACTGAATTAATTGCAGATGGTTGCATTAGTCTAGGCTCTGCTGACATGCAGTATCCCCATACTTTCACAAGTGGAGTGTGGAGTGGAGTGTCCAAAAAAGCGCTATATAAGTATAAGCAATTATTATTATTAAGTGTCCTTGTTTTCTTTGTTTACTAAACATTACTGCTAGGAATCAGAAGCCTTTTTTCTCCCTGGGTACACTGGATGGTATGCAATTTAAACAGTCTTCTATGAAGGGGGAGCTGACACTGGTGATTGAGCAGGGTTGAGCAATGCTTTTTGCAGCATGGAAGCACAAATACTGGCCAAGGCTTTGTAACCAATCAACTATTCAATTCAGCAGAAAAGAACAAAGCCCATTGGCATCTTACCAATGGTACTCAAGGAAAGAGATGTTATTCAGAAGCCATTGATGCAACTCTTCCAAAAGTCACTTAAGACAGAGGCTGTACCCAGGGACTGGAGAATTGCTAATGTAGTACCCATCCATAAAAAGGCTAAGCAAAATGAACTAACGAATTATAGACTAAATTGCAGACAGTAAGTATTTAGAAAAACATGAGTAAACTGAAAATCAGTTATTAAATAGAAAGCAGAAGGTACAGATATGGGGTGAATATTCAAATAAATTCAGATAAAATATTCAGATAAAATTCAAGGCTGGGAAACACCTGGCAGGTAACATTTATTGTAGACAA